ACTATAAAACAGAACGAAACGCCTGTTCAATGGGCAATACGAGTAAGAATTCCATTACAAAATTTATTAAGTGCTGGAAAATTTAGTGTATATCATCGATACTGTTTATTTATGTCATACGGTAAAGGTAAATTTGTCAATTTCAATTATTATAGACCAAGAATCCACAAAAGTCATATGGCGATTTGCTTCGATTGCTGGAAACTCATAAAAATCGATGATGTAAATCCTAAAAAATTATTCCATTTTACTAGACAGAGGTATGTTGATTGTCTCGAACCTAAAGACCTGATGCAGGAACATTGGGATCACGAATGTAATAAACCAAAGACTGATTTCGGAAAAGCAAGGATTATACAAAGAGCTTGGAAAAATTACAAACAGAGGCCTGAATCATTAGCATCTCGAGCTTGGAATGCATTAAGAAATGATAATACTCCCGATGAAAAATTTTTAGGTATGATCCCTTACAAAGTGAAAAATCCTGCATCTTTAGATCGAATGAAATTACGCTATACTGAAGAATTTGCTGAATATAGAAAAAAATATAACAGATTACCATTTCATATTGAATATGAGATTAAAACATTTAAAGAATATATTATTCCATATGATTGGATAGGTTCTAAAAAGAAACAATTGCGAAATAGATTCCAAAAACAACTTTTAGAATTTGCAGTATAATTTACATATCTATTTATTATAACAACTTATCTATTTATCCTAAAGGAAAGCTGGTAACATTTTTCCCAGAATATATACTTTATATTAACTTGTTTTACCTGACACAAAAACCCCCTTCGGTACAAATAAACTATAGAATTTATTTATTTTTTCAACATCTACTCCAACTTTAATCAGGCTGGATACTGATAGCTATTTCATTTAAAAATAGTAGCGAATAAGATACCGAAAACATCCGCCCCCGATTCCAAATCGACTGGCTACGATCACCTTATCAAAAAGCGGTGGGTGAGATGCATTTATATTGCTGTATTAATAAATAACGAAAAAAAATAATTATTATCTCATTACCGTAAATTACGCTACTCATTAGAAAGATCAAGAGGTTGGTCCCATCCCTTGCGAAGATATAGAGGGTCTTCTTTTGCTCTAGTTAAATCGATAACAATAAAATCTCTACCTTGCAAATTTTTATCAAGTATATCGACAACATCGCGCCATTTTTTTGTATATCGTCGGGCAATGTTAACCAGCTCATCATATGTACCACTACCATTAAAGAGGACTATATAATCGAGATTGTTTCTTATTAATTTGGGACAGTCAAAGAAAGATTGTGTTATGTATATGCTAGAAATATTACGATGCTTCCCTTCAGCAAAATAACACGCAATTTTTTTCTGGATTTTTTTAGGTTCGGTACATACATCTTCGAATACAGCTACTGTTTCTCTCTCAGGAGAAAAGTCATCAACCTTTGGCATTTTATCGGGTTTCATTGCTCGGAATGTAACATCTTCACGATATGGTTTGGGGCTATTTGCAATTATTTTATAGCAATCTCGGAGATGTTTATACTTGGGCTCATTAATTTGATGACCGATCAAAACCAAATCATCATTCTTAATATATCTTGTTCCGCCTTTTTTCCCACTAAACAATCGATACATTTTATTTCCAAGTAAAAGGTTGACAACTTCGTTAGTTTTTTCTGACCTTGTTCGTCCACTGACTAATAAATTGAAAGGCCATTGAGGTGTACTATTAAGGCCGTTAAATCTCTCTATATTTTTGTATTCGTCAATATTCAAAACCATCCTTTCAACAGGGTCGAGCTTTTCTATTTTCAGCTGTCACTAATTATTATATCAAAAAATAATGGCACAGATTACTACTTATTCCTAAACAAAATTATGTTTATCGTTTTTGATTATAAATTAAATACTACATATTACATAGCGAATATAAAATGGCGGAACTTCGTGAACAACTTTCCGAATTTATAGGTTTCAAACCTGATGAGATTCGTTTTCCAGAAACAGAGAGAGATAAACGACTATTTCGAAAAATTATTGCGGATCAAAGAATGGCAACCAATATTGTGTTAGATGATTTTCATTTCTTGCTCCATACTGGATATAATGGTAAAGGAGGTCGATTAATACATATCGGATGGTTAATATGTGTAATGCGAAAAGAATGTAAAAAAGTTTTGTTAAATATCCCTCATGACATTACTAATAAAATCATAACACATCTTCAATATAAATTCAAAGACATTCCATTGACACCAATAGTAAGGTATCCGAATATCCCATCGCAATTGCATTCAGAGTATGATATTATTTAGCCATGCTAGCTAATGAGATAATATCAATTATCGTGTTTATTAATATCTGTATTTTTCAAATATCCTTTTTTAAGCAATTCACTTTTAATATAGGAAAATAAATCTGAGTCGAATGGTACTAATATGAGATCTATACCTTCTCGAGCACATATATCTCGCTTTTTTTGGTCGCGTGTCTGTTGACTATCTAAGTCTATCTTGCCTCGCTTATGGAACATTGGATTCTCAGAAAAATGCTGAGGCCCCTGGAATTCGAACGCTAATTTTAACTCTTCGTTATACCCGTCTAATTGCATCCCATTCAAAAACGACGGTTTACAAGATGGAAATTTCTTACCCAACAGATCCTCAAAAATATATCTACATCTCCGCTCATCGCTATGATGGAAGCAAATTGGACACCATTCAAATTTCGTAGCTATTAACGGATATGGATGTTCCCACTGATGGTTTCCGTTTTCACAGGACCAGAGATATACATTGAAATCATTTATTTGGCCAGTTTTACCAAGACATTTTCCGCCACGCTTCTTTGCATACTCTTCAGCCTTAGCCACTTTATTAATAATACAAACGAAATTAACAGACCTGGAACGAGTATTTTCTTCCAATATACTCTGGGGCGGATACTGAAGTTTTTCTAGATCTACGTGCATCAGCTCTTCACGTACAAATCCCCGCTTTGGAGGATATTCATCGTCATCGCTTCCGAGATAATATAAAACTGGTTCATTCTTCGTTATAACAATTTTGCGGATTTTATGAAGACTTGGTGAAAACGTCGGGTCCGTAGCTCTTTTCTGATTTTCCATACCACCTTCCCACTCTCCATTGGCTAACAAATAACGGACTGTATCACCTTTCTTCAACCTATTCTCCTCATATTTTCCAACAGGACGCTTATACTTTGTAGATGGCCTAGATTCTACTCGTTCCAGATTGATAGCTTTTGCTGGAGCTAAACCCCACTTTGTAGAACCCGGAGCTCGAATGAGGCGCGTCGGATAATTATTTAGGTAATCGATAACTTCTGGCAAATACTTAACCCACTCTCTTATTAATTTAGGGTTCGAAGTTAGACTTTCAACGGCATATTGGACTTTATATAATATTTCCGCTAGAGTTTTATTAAATCGTTCCACAATGGCCATGCAACGATGACTGTACGTACCAATGACTCGTATTATTACATTATGCTCTTGCATAAGCTTGGAAGTTTCACCCATAAATTCTCTACCACCGTCAGATTGTAATAAATCAGGCCAGGTAAGAGGGATATTCGGGTTGTCATAAATTTTCTTAAACGCCTTGGCTACCTCTGAGCTGTTTTTTGAAGTTAGAGGAACAGCGTATTTAAAACGAGATGCAACGTCTATAATAGTGAGTGCCCATTTATATGTCTTTTTATTAACGATATCATTTGTAAGGCGCAACAAATCACACATATGTACGCAGTTTGGACGTGAAATTTTACCATAACTAACCCGTGGAGTATCTTTCGGTGATGGAGCATACTTTTGCCATTCATTCTGATTTATAAGCCAGTTATGCACTTTTTTGAATGGAAATCGGTACCCTTCCTTCTTGAGGTCTTTATATAATTTTCTAGAATTGGCATGGTAGCCAGTAGGCTGGTAAAAAAGCAATTTACATATTAAGTTTAATTCCTCATTTGGATCGATTCTAATAATAGGCGTGCTCAATTTATGCGAAGCATGGTATAAAGACCTACTCATTTTTGATATTACTTATTATAGCAAAGTCAAGAGATAAGATAAGAGACGAAGTCTCCTTTCTATGAAAGATATAATATGCCGTAAAAAATAGAGCAGAGTCTCATTACTTCGTAATAACATGGCATTTCGTAGACCACGACCCCCTAATCAAACAACTCATAGATCAGCTACGGATAAAGAACTCGAGCTAGAACAAATTAACCAAGAACTCCAGGAGATATTACAATCAGAGGTAGCCATCAACAAATCGAATGAGAAATATATAAAGGATCTGGAACGTAAATATATCCAGTATGAGAAAGAAATCCAATCTCTCAATAAAGAATTGGAACGGCTTGAGAATGCTTCAGAGGAAGAAAAGGCGGAGTTGAGATTGGAGATATCATCCCTTAAAAAAAGCTTATATCAAGCTAAAAAGGAAATCCGAGGTAAGATATCTTATATCGATAATATAGAGAAGCAATTACAAGAATCGGAAGAGCGGGTTCAAAATTTAAGGCATAGATTCAAAGTTATTTCTTCTCGAAGAAGCTCTCCAAGTTTATATAATTCAAAAGAGGAAGACATAGATATGGCGAATCTTGATCTTTTTATACAAATTGACCGAGGCTTGAATCGTATTGAAAACCATCTTAAAGGTGCTGGAACGCCGTTAAATAATCCTATAAATATTATAAATGGTATTAGAGGTTCCTTAAATGCTGTCCGTCTTAATTATCAATCTGCATACCAGGATATAGATGGTGTTATAGCTCAACGGGATGATAGCAATAATCAGATAGTCCAGCTACAGCAGGATGTCAATTACTATAGACAACGGAATATCGTTTTGCAAAATCAAGTTAATCAGCTTACCCAAAATAATTTTCAGGACCAAGTCAATCAGATTACCCAAGAACGAGATAACTTACAGAACCAAGTTAATCAAATTATCCAAGAGCGACATAATTTACGAAATCAAGTTAACCGACTTACTCATGAGCATGACAATTATCAGAATGATCTTACTTTGATGACTACAGCTTATAATAACGAACAGGGAGAACGTCGTCGCTGGTGGTTTTCATATCGTGATAAAAATAGACGTGTTGGTGAATTAATTCGAGAAAAGTTCGCTATTCAATTATTATTACAGCGATGCCATACCAATAATAGGGATTTACAACGAAGGTATGATATGCGAGGGCGTTTGTGGTATAATATTACCTTGGCATTAGAAGAACAATCTAAACTTAGGCATGTTTTTGAAGTTCTGTATAGATTAAAAAACTATCGATTAGAACAAGAATTGCGAAGATGTCAGGCCGATAAAGGATTATTAGAATATAATCGAGATCGGCTCTTTGATAAATATTACAATAAATTCAAAGATCGGAAGGCAAGTCATATCAAGTGGAAAAATAGAGAGCGTAATTCACAGCAATTAATTTTAAATTTACAAGCCCAAATTTTATTACTACAGAATAATCCACTAAATATGGCAGAAGCTAGACGTTTACCAGTATTAAAATTAATACAACCGGCTCTTGCAAGTTTCTCACCTTATATTGGTCAAGAACCTCCTGATGATTATTTTGATAAGGTTATGCAATCATGGGCATTTGCTGAGGGGCATATGACAGTTCTTGAAAATGCAAATGCAGGAGATTTCGATGATGCGGTCAAGTGTACTATCTTAAAATCTAAGATGGCTGGAAAATATGCTCCAGTACCAGCTAATGATCCATATATTGTTGGTAATCCTCCCATTAATACTCCAGCAACTTTGAGGGCATGGGCAAGAACAAAATATCAACGAGAAACAGTTGGAACCAAACAATCTGCAATTCAAAGATTAACTCAAGAAAGATTTCAACCTTTTGATACTCCGGATACCTACGAAACTAGAATTCGACCTCTTTTGTTAGGTGTACCCAATAATGATGCTCAAGTCTTGGGATTTCTTAAAAGTCAATTACCAGGTGAGCTTTTTACTTGGATGAGGTCCGATGCTCCAGTAGGTATTAACGAATTTTTCATTGCATTAAAAAATATGTGGTTAGAACGTACTCCAAACCTGTATGGAGGATCAAATTTTGATCAAGTCTCAGCTATTAGGCCAGAGGCTAGCTTTTCAGCTAATATATTACCTACAATTTCTCAGCCAGAAACCAGCTCACACCAATTACAAACTAAATCTATAATACCGGTACAATCTCAACAGAAACGATCTAATTCCGATGATTATCCTAGAGTACCAGATAAATATATGCCAGAAAGACCTCCAGATGGGTATGGCGTAAATTCTGAAAGATTTATTCATGCCGATATCATAAATCCAATTCCTTCAACCAGTCAAATTATGGAATCTCTAGCTAATGATCTTTATAAAAAATTGTCTGATATGTTTTCAGCGAAACCAGTGCAATCGAAGAATAAAGATACCAGTACCGATGATATAAATGAAATTACTAAAGGTATGTCAAAATTATCATTAAATTTAGCAAAAATGGCAAAAGAGGTTAATGCCGTTAAGAAATCATCTCAACATCATTGTTCAAATTGTAATAGAACTGGACATAATTCTCGCAAGTGTACTCGTAAGAAAAGGTCCAAGAGTAGATCCAAAAAGAGAGGCAGTGTTAATAAGGTTGCTGTAGATTCAGGTTCAGATACAAACTCTTCCGATAACGATTCTTCAGATAATAACTCCGATTCTGGAGATTCCTCGTCTGAAGTTGAATCCGATCATAGTTTTGATGTACACTTCTCTAAAACAAAAAAAAACAAGTAAAGCAGAAGGGTAAATCAGATAAATCATTATCTAAAAAGTCTAGTTCAAAGAAGAGACAGAGTCTCGAATCTCCGATTCAACGTTCTTCACAAAAAATACAAAAAAAATCAGGTACGATTATCGACTCACAAATTCGAAAAATTATTCTAGCTATGTTTAACGATCCAGAGGTTATAGAAACAATTAAAAACAATATTAATAATACGAATTTATCTATGACTCGAAGAGTCGCCCCTAAAAGGTCTGCAAAACCTGACTTTATAAATTATCGAGAACCAATATCAGAGATACCAGAATCAGATGGTGAAGAGGAGACGCTGGACGATCCTATGGAGATAGATTTTGTTCGTAGGAAAGAACCTGACACAAGTATTGCAACTATACCGTGTAAAATCAAACGCTTAAAAATTCCAGCATTGGTGCTCGATAGTGGGGCTGAACCTCCAATTACATCAGAAGATATTGTTAAACGTGTAAATTGGCCAATTGATAAATCAGA